CCCTTATCCACTGATTGTTTTCCCTTTTTAGGGTTGGTTTTTTTCAGTATGCTGAAGCTGGCATAGGAGGACATCATACTGAAGAACGTGTTAATTTTCAGCAATATTGAAATGTTCCTGTTGGAGTCTCTAATGTTATAAAGAGCCGTGTGGTTTTCTGGTTTGGCTATTTTTAAAGTTTTCTATGCCTACCTTTTCATCTTAATGACATGCTAGGAGAGCACTTCAAATTCCAACAAAGGCAGCTTAACTTTTTGAGTGAAAGCGGAAGGCTTTTGGGAAAACTTTGTAGAAGACATTTAGTGATGAATTATCTTTTTTTGTGTTCCTTAATGAAGTGTGATAAGTTAGAGCACTATGTTCATATCTTGTGGACCTGAAGAGTTGACAGTATAACACACCTGACTGAAATCTTTTTATCAAGTAGTGAGCTTGGTATAAAAAAAAAAAAAAAAAAAAAAAAATCCTTGGGAAACACAGGTAAATTGTTACAAGGTTGAATGGGAGTATAATGATGAGGCAAAATGAAAGGAGTGATGAGGGGGAGTTACAAAAGCTTATCTTATCTTGGGCTTGGAGTAAAAAGGGAGGAGATTGCTATTGAGAAACAAAAACATTTAAGGGAAGTGCCAAGAAAGGGATATTGCTATGGGTACAGTATATACTACATAAAAGAATGTCTGAAAGGAAAGCCAACCTCAAAGCTAGACTCTGTATTTTTTCCTCTAAGTTACAAAATGAAGTAATGGTTTTAATTTTGTTTTGTTTTGTTTTCTTTCCATAAATAAACAGGAGAATCAACAGTGGATATATGGGAACATTAAAATGCCATCTGGAAGTGGTGCTGTTGTGCCTTTGGCTAAAGTTTCATGATAAGTTAACACTGCTCTTGAAAGATCCAGCGTGTGTTTTCCTCCCACTACCTGTTTTCTTTGTCAGTGCTAGCCTTAACATAGCTGCGTAATGAATTGAGTCAAAGAACTGATCTGACCTAAAATGATATGGTAAAGAAAATAATGGCTAGTTTTCAACCCAGAACAATTTCCTGATTCATTCTACTGTGAATGTCTGCCCTCTCACATGCAAAGGGTTGGCTTTAGGGGCATGAGTGAGTGATGGAAAAGGGTAGACTACTTTTATTGCCAGTGCCAGCTTATATAATTTTAAAGTGATTGTGAAATTACAGTCTTAACTGAGAAACACTTGTCACCCCCTATTTTCATAACTTTGTAATGTGTTCAGTGGGTTTTATTTCAGGTCTTAATGATAAATATACGGTGAGTTCTGTAATCACCTGGAAGGAGCTTGTATGGTCTGTCTAGTAAGTACCTAATTACAGATGATGGTAAATATATTGTTGATACTGCAATTTGCAACAGGCCCCTCTTAGCCATTTTGGAAGGTGTCTTAAATACATTGAGCCCTTAGAATGTTGTTTTTCTCTTTTGCAATTCATATGGAACCGCTAAGTATTTGCGGTTGAGTCCTTTTTAAACATAGTATTATGGCCTTTTTTATGCCTAGTGTGCTTTTATAGTAGCATGCCTTGAAGAAATAGTGTTAAGTGGTTTGTTTGCATCTATTTTCTATTGTTTCTTACTATTGTCTTCTGTTACATTTCAGGCTATGCAACACTCTTTAGAGTAAAGATTAAGGACTGCGAATCTGTTTTGAATTAACTTATTCTCAGTGGTGTCAATAAACTTTGCTTCTGTCCTCCATCACATGCTACTCCAATGTTTGCATCTTTATGAACATTATGAATGCAGGATGCTCATGGTAGATATTAGAAGAGCTTGTAATGCCAGCAAGCCACCTGCCTGAAGCATGTCTGTAACTTTAATCAGAGCAGGACAGTAACCTGTACAGCTAATGCAACTTCTTTAAATGGATGTTTCTTTAATGCGTCATCTGTCAAATTAGTGGAATTTACACCTGCTTTACAGTCATGCATTTAATGATTGCTACCATTAAACAGCCTTTTCAAAGCTGTAAGTTTGATACCAGTTTTGGACTATCTCTTTAAGCCAACTGTGCTAGTCCTGAGCATGTGGCTATGTTAGTGGCTTCAGGCCTGTGAAGTTGACTGTGCACAGACTTGCCAAGAAATGCCAGGAGTTTGATAGAATTGTTCTGTAGGCCATCTGATGCTTGCACCACCCACTGAGATTGCTCTGCTGTAAAATATACTTAACAAAAAACCCTAGCAATTTTGTTTCTCTGCTTTATGAAGACTTAAAGAAATCAGACTGTCAGACTCAATGCTTACAAGTTTTTTCATTAATTAAATGTATTACAGTAATGCAAAATCACTGGGAACTCTTTCTTATTTGAAAAGAATGCATTTTTCTGTTGTTCAGCAGTGATCTTTCCAGAGTTAGCCTATGTGCAGTGGGGAGGAAGAGTCCTTTTTCTTTCTGAGGAAAAATTAGATGTGGAAATTCTGTTCCTTTATTTAAGCATGGAAAGGAGCAGCAGAAGGAAAACAGCTTTTCCACGCAGAAATCTTTACCTCAGATAGACATGGAACAGATTGTTAGGGGATGTAAACTCGTGTTAGCACCACTGAAATCCATGCATTGATTTACAGCATCTATGGATCCTTCCTGATAAACCTGTAGAGTATAATGTGTCTTGAGGTTTCTTCTATCCAGATATGTATACAAAAAAGAGGTGGTGAAACTTTTGTGGGTAGGTTTTAAATCTTGCATAAGTTAAATCACAATGTGAATATAATGTGATAGTTTATGCCACCATGAAGACCTCACACAGAGTTCATGAGACACAAGCACCTTTAGAAAATAACCTTAATAGGCTGACAGGTGTGGTCACTAAGCTGATGAAGATGCCAGCTGCTAACAGTTTCCCTGAGATAATACATACCAGTTTTAACTCAGTGCTGCTCTAACACAGTTGCAGAGCTTTTGGGCCAAGTTGGGTCACATTCCTGCTACTCAGAACACGGCCTGAGCTCATCTCTGCATTCTACTGAGTAGCTATTTATCCTCATCCCACTTTGTCATATATATACACATAGGTGTTTGTCCTTGTGAAAACAGCCACTGTTTCTTCCATGTGCTTAAGGCTTTTTTGTTGTTCTTCCTTTCCTCTTTGTGATAGCGTAATTTGTTCTTTCTAGTTTTTGAATCACTGGCCTCGAAGTGACTAGGAGTTGAGTCCTTCCCCAGCTTGCATGATTGCAGACCTAGAATAGCGCACTCACTTTACATGGTGGATTTGGTCTCCTGGGTTCACGTGATTGCTCCCTGGATGACTTCTAGCCTTTTCAGAACACCCTTTTGAGAGTGATGTGTGTACTTTGTTGCCCCACTAGTAACTTGTGTTTTCATTTTGATCCTCTCTCCTCTGGCAAAAGGCTTTTGCATTCCCTATTGCCATCATCTTGGTGTTGGTGCAGAAGCTACCTCCAGGAATACCTCCATACCTGAAATCATTCTCTTAGGTGTGTTTGGTTGCAGAAGTTGGCTGCGAATGGGTCTCCGGAGGCATAACAACACCTCCTTTGAGCTGGAAAGTTGACTCAGGCTCTGTAGAGAATTATGTTTGCTTCATTTATGTGGAATAGGTTTTATAAAGTAAAAGAGGAGTTGTGTGCCAGTGACCATCTTCAGTCTGTGCAAAGCACAACCTTTGAGGTGAACTTACATGTATGCTGCTCTTAACATTTGCTTCAGTCTAAATCAAGAGTCTAGTATTCTCCATTCTACCCCTTGCTGGCAAAGCGCATTTGTCTTTTTACTTGTTTGTCCTCTTCCAGCACCCTTTCTTCTATGCAATGCCTTTACATGATAGCAAATCCCTTTGCTATATTGTTCTAGACACGAGTGATTGTACCTGTTTTGGGAGATCCTTGGGCACTTCTAAGAATGGCAAAAAAACCCATCCTGGAGTTAGCCCAATTGTTGGATTGATAACGACAATCTGAATTTCAGAGGCGAAGCAGGCTTTCTTAGTTTTATTACCAGGTAAAAGGATAATACTTTATTTAGGAACAAGATCATTCACTACAGCCCAGATGAAAAATGATAAAGAGGTCTGCTAAGGCAACTCTTGTTCTGATTTTACAATGACCATTTAAGCAAAGTAGCCCCAAGAAATGGGACAACTTTCTTTTATTTGGCTTTATTAAAAAAAAAAAAAGTTTTCATCAGGTTCATTATTTTAATTCTGGAGAATATGAGATGTGATTAGGATAGGAGAATAGATTCTGGATTTTAAAAGTTATTTCAATTACAGTGCAAATGCAGGATTTGGGCTGGCATTTTAATTTTACAGATTTCTGTTTCCTGTATTTGAACTCTGATTATTCCGTTAGTTTTTAAAAATATGCTCAGAATAGAAGCTTTTTTCTCCTTGTTGTTGTAATTCTTTACTGGGATTTTGTGAACTGTCTTTAAACTTCAGTTGAGTGAAAGTCTATCAGCTTTTGTCCTCTGCTGACCTGGGTATGCCTGGGGCTCTTGGCTTTAGGCAGGCACTCCTGTCTGTAGCTGTTGAGAGCTTTTCTGAAGTTCTGAAAATGGACTCCTTTTCTGATATGGGAAAAGAGATTTCAGTGGCTGTCCAAAACTGCCTTTCTTCTGAGTGGCTCTTGGTTTTCTTTCATAGTGTTCTCTCTACTTCAGAATAGTCAAAATGGGTTGGGGGGGGTGGGGTTGGTTTTGGGGTTTTTTTTGTTGGTGTTTTTTGGGTTTTGGGGGGGGGTTGGTATTTGGTAACGGGTTGGGGTTTGGAGTGGTTTAACCATTTTTCTATCAGTGAATAAACGTGGGCTGTAACTTCAAGTTGACTTTTATAAATCCCACTTGTTACAGTTGTACCCAAGTTCAAGTGTTAGAATAAACTTTTCTGCTTCAAAACTTGAGGGAGATGCTTGGCAAGGAACTTTTGCTGACGTAAGTGTTGACGTTATAGGTTTAGAAGCCTGCTGGCAGAAAACTCATGGCGAGATCTAGAACTTGAAATCCGGGTGGAGGCAGATGCTGGGGACATCCTTCATCGCCGTTCGGGTCAGCCCCTGGTGCGGGGGCGGAAAGCGCCCCTCGGAGCCTCCAAACCTCGCGTTTCTCAATATAATGAATTCCGTGCATCTGGGGTTTGAACTTCTGGAGTTGGTGACGTGGCGGTTGCCTAGAAGCCCCCCAGCTCGGCTTGGGTTCCCCGGTGGGACGGCAGACGAGGCAAGGCGGGGGGAGCGGTGAGGTGCCCGGCCGCCGGCGGGCACCCGGCCGGCACGCACCCGCCTGAGCCCGCCGAGGCCCCAGCCTGGGCTCCGTGACTGGTTTTTCTCCCCGCAGGTGAAGGACATGGAAGAGACGATCGAAGAGCTGTTGAGGAGGCTGGACGAGTTCTGCGGGATAACGGACGCGGTACGTGTGCCCCGTAGGCCGTGTCGGCCCCGGCCCCGAGGGCGGGAAGGCGGGCGGCGCGCGCGCCGGGCGGCCATCTTGACAGCGCGGCCGCCGCGGGAAG